CCTAGAACATTCCTTAACAGACAATAAATTATAAAACATCGCCTCCATCTTTCAGTCAATAATTTCAGCCCCAAACCCCTCCCCTCTAATCAACCCCAAATCCAAGCCGACACTCACTCACTCACTCAGTGGATCCTCCGACTTGACAACATGAACCTTGAATCCAGACCAGGATTCAACACCAGCAGCAGCCACTCTTCGAGTGCCAGAATCACGAGCTTCAAGCAGAATTCACGGATTCGACTGTACACACAACAACAACATCTTCCTCTTGAAGTGATGAAGGTCTCATGGCTTAAGCGGAAATAGACGTGAGCCAAACAGGAGTCAGCCTGGGTAGAGCAGACGAGACGGGACCGGTGGAGGGCTCCAGGCCATAATCATGCATCGAGCACAGGGTACTTTCAGGTACCGTCTTCGCCCGAGGTAGGCGGACCGGACCAGACACGGGCCATGGTTATGCATCCAGATCGACCCCTTTTTAGCCTTCCTAGAGGCCGGGAGGGTGTTTGTCGGGACGGTGTCTTTGCGCGTGGTCCCTTGTGCCTTCTCAAAAGGCCCTCCATTGCGTCCTCTATTTCGCGCATGTGGTTGAGCCCCCCTCGACAAATGCCATTTCATCCGATCCTCACCTTATGCAACGATGCCGAGGTGCTTCTAGTTCCCGTGTTTTCATATTCCCGGTCTATTTGCTTTCGACGTGATTTCGTTGCAAGATTATGTCGACACCGCGAGTGTTTCCAAGTTTCGTCGTTGGCCTGTTGTCTTTGTAAGGTCGAGCTTCGTACTCCCGGCCTATTTACTTTCGACGTGAATCTGTTGTAAGATTGAAATTCTGTCGACACCGTGAGTGTTTCCAAGTGTCGTCGCTGGCCTGTTGTCTTTGGAAGGTTGAGCTTTCGTTCAGTTGAGCCTGATTTTGTTGTTGGTGATGTGGAGAAGAGCCTCGGCTTGACTTTGGATTGCGATTTTCTAGGAGTGATCTTTTGCACTTGGTATACCTTTTGGATTCTCCCTAGATATATATTCGGCAGATGGCCCGAGGTTCACGTACAATTTCATGATCGTGAAGGAAAGGTATGTTACTTTCTGGCTGGAGCTTTGGATGATGGTTGTCCCACCTATCACATGGATTCAAGAGAACGAAACGGTTGAATAGAGAAACATTAATTTTTTTGTATCGTAACAAAAAGAAGAAAAAAAATGGGATTCCCAATCAAGCGTTATATGGATGAAACCAAAGTGTAACGCAGGGCTAGCCTAGAACCCTAGTAACATGACAATGATGAATAAATCATTCCTCAACTCAGTTGTGTGAACTATACATAGGTCAAAAAGTTTGCGAATTCACTACCCCCATCATGCGAAGAACAATAATCTTTCATGATTACTATCCCATGGATAACTCTATCTAGTGTTATAAATAATTTCATAGAAACACAAGTAAGATTTTTTCACAAGTAAGATTTTTGAATAAAACTAAAGACTAAGATACTACTTGGTCAAGGAACGTAAGGTTCTAGTCTCTCGTGTAATCTCAGATATCAAAGTCAATGTATCAGGGCTGGCACCGCGCGGTTTTTTACTATCGGGTTTTATTTGGTTTTTGAATTAAACCCGACAGCCTCGAGGCTCCAAAATCGGGTTTTATTCGGTTTTACGGATTACAGTTTTATTTCGGCGGATTGCGGGTTTCTACCCATACTGCAATTTGCAGTACTGGTTGGTTGATGGCAAGGATTGGCCCTATCGCCATCAAACTTTTCAGTATAGCGACGTCGACTGCGGCCTCTGAGAGAAACTTCTCGACCATTGGAATCATTCATTCAAAGCTGAAGAACATCCTCAACCTAAGAAGCGTTGACAAACTGACGTTCATCAAGAGCAACTTGCCGGCCTTCTACGACTACGTGCACGACGAGTCCAACGTTGACGATGATTCCGGCAGTGAATCCTCCCAGCAGGCGCCCGCTCATCGAGCCGAATAAAACCATGGTTTTTTTTTTGCTTAAAATCGGGTTTTATTGTATTAAACCAAAAATCCGATTTCCTCGGCAAAAAAAATCGGGATTTTTCCAGCCCATTGAATGTACACATCTCTAGAAAATTTCCGAGCGAGCTAGAGAAATAGAAGGTATGAACTCATCTACAATAAATTTTTTTTGAATATATACAGTAATAAAACTTTGAAATTAATTTTTCAGAAATTATTAAAATATCTCCAAAATTAAATTATTAAATTAATCAAGTAAATAATAAAATTTGATAGATTGATGAAATTTTTAATTAAATTATATAATTTAAAAAAATGGGCATTGCATAAATTTGTTTTGTTGAAAGTTTGATAAATGTGATTATCTAAGGAATGTTATTGATAATAAGAAAATGATGAAAATAAACTTTTTTTATGACAACAACTATCTATGACTAGAACATTTTTTTTTTTGCATATCATTCAAAATATGATATCAAATTTCATATATTCACATCATTTATGTTATGCATCAAATCTCCATTTTAAAAATTGATATCACTGTTCGATTAAAAATATTGATTCTATGAGAAATTAAATGATGTTATCATCATGTTTTTTGCATATCACCAAAATATGATATCAAATTGTTTTGTACATATCAATTATATGATAGATCAGATCTTTAATTTTTTTATTTGATATCAAACAATATGATTTTGATGCAAATAGAAGATCACTATGAGATTAAAGGTATTGAATCTATGGAAAAAAAAGTTTGATGATCTTATAAGCAAATTAAAAAACGGATGTATAAAAGTCTAAAATATAGTTAGATATTTGATTAATTAATTTTGTAATATCAATCAAATCTCTTATGCAAAATAATTTAAACATAACACATTTTGTGCTCTAATTAACACTAAAATTAAGAAAAAGAAATTTTAAAATAATACATTAAATCTGTGAAGATTTTATCAACTATCAATTATTTTTGTTTACACCATACTTGCAAGGATTTTCACGTATAATTTGCATGCTTTTTAAGGCTTAAGTTGCTGTTTGGTCTTACCCGCTTCTAATATATTTTGCATAAAAGATTTCAATCTAAAAAATTTCTGTGAAATTTAAGATTTTTTTTTGATAAATAAATTGATTTTTATTATATATATATATATTTATAACTCCAAACATTATAAAGATATAAAATTATCATAATCTATTTTAATAGGCACCGCAAGCAAATAATATTACACAAAATATATTTAGAAAATGATTGATCAATTCGTGGATCAAACTTTACTTGTCAGATACCAATCTACCGTCTCAATAGCACTAAATTAAATTTTCTACGATATATTTCGCAATTGTCATATGAATTAAGAACGACATGTGATCATTGCAAAATAACTATCAATACTTTCCTGATTGGATAAACTATCTGAGATTTACTTCTCAATGTACACGGAGAGGACGTTATCAAGGTTATCATCGCTTATATTGTCTTGAAGTCTTGTCTTGATTATATTGAAAGATGAGAAAGTGCGTTGAGCCAATGCTATGCTCATAGGTAATGTAAGAGCAAGCATTATTGCTCAGAACACAAGAGTATAACATTCCAATTTGTTAGTCTCAACCTATGAAGCACACAGAGCAGAAAATGAGGAAATATTTTTCAAGATTTCTTTAGATTTCAAATTTATCTTGAAATTTTATTGTTGTTTAAGCATGCTATGCCCCTTTTTTTTAAAGTCCATCTCATATATCCAAGGAACAATTTCTTATAAATATTTTTGAGAATATATTTTATTATGATTATTTCTAAAATGATGTACAATACGGTATATAATGATATGTTCCCTCATGGTTGCTGGGTCGGAAGGCGCCAAGAGGGACGCCCCCACTACACGAGAACGTGAGAATGCTCAGCCCGACTTGTGACTAGAGGTGAGAATCATCATCGTAATCCATTATCACGGTTATTAATATGTATTAATTAAAATATTCAAAGTAAAACATAAAACTCAATAATTTCAAAATGTATATTTTCCGTTCAATAGGAAAAATCAAATTTTAGATTATTGAAAGTTATACGTCGTTTCTTCAATAAAGAATCACATATTTGATATATACATTCATACGTGTAAAGAACTATATATAGATGTGAAATCATATATTCATTATACTAAAATATATATGATTTTTTATTTAGACAAGATAAATTAACTTTGTGAATAATATTATTCAAAATATTTTGCATTTAGTTCTAGTAGAAGTAAAATTATAATTCAATTGATTACGTTTTGGGGATCATTTGATTATATCCATATTTCGGCTAAAATCTAATATTATGATATATAAAATATCATCAAAATACAAAGAAATTTTCCTATCTATTGTCTAGTTACAAAAAAAATTTATGTTATACTTGATGACCTAATCCGAAATCAGTATTAAAAAATAGATATATTTCTTCAATCATTTTTCATAACTTAAATCAAATTTTAAACACAGTTTTAAGTACAAACATCAATTAATTTTTTATCCTGTAACAAAACAAAATAACCAAACGGATATAGATATCTGGAAATATGACAATTCAGAAAATACTGAAAACAATATAAAAATGAATTTTCAACATTCAGGGCAAGAACCGGCTAAAAGTCCATATTGCATAAAGTATTTTTTTGGTAGTAAAAGTATGAAGCGAATAGTTTGATTTGAATGTTCAAAAAATTTAGATAAACATGAGAATATTCTACATATTCTTTTCTGAACAAATGTCTAACCCCATCAACAATTACCTTCTAAAGCGGCCAAAATTACAATTTCTGTGGTTATGACTTCCTACAAAATATCAAACGACAGTAAGACTTGATACTCGCAGGCCAGTAGGCAATGTTTCAACCCAATCTCATTCAAATTCATACACAAAAGAATATGATGACTTCGGCTCCCTATACTGCTCCATTCAGCCTAAAGATTATAAGATTGATTACTTGATAGACCAAGGAAGCATACATTCAGCTCAGACCAAGAGGAGACAAAGAAGGCACGACGTTTCCGCGCAGATAATTGAGAAACAAGCAATCGACAAAAACAGCGGATCGCGAATGACACAAAAACACCTGTATAGGTTTCTTCTCAGTTATGATGTAAAAGAACAAACAATCTGCCTTTCTTGCTTTAGTTCCGGTGTAGATTAGGACTTCGTACAGTCCGTTGCTGCCTTGACAGCCGCGACCCTCTTGTAGACCGTGAAGGCTATTGCGGATACAGTTCAACACCTTAAGATGAAGGCAAAAAATATAGGCGCAAACAATTGACATATATATGGACGATACTTCTCTTGACCTGCATAGATGAACTGTAAAGACTGTCTATAACGCATACAGGACACTACCTCCGTACTCAACTCCGTGTAATCGAGCTGCTGATCCACGTAGCAGTCATTTAGTTCAGCACCTACAAAACAGACAGTAGAACTGTGCGTCTTAACGGTTGCGAAGCGATGTTGACAACAGTTCACAAGTACTTCAGCACCAATAACCAACTTTTCTCAAACTAGCACAAAATTTTTGATCAGACCGTATGACTGCTACTCTCAGCCAATGACTTATGATATTCACTAACCTGAATAATTGACACCGTTGACGTGTGAGCAAGTCTGTCACCCACAATCGATAATCGCCACAAAGAATCTGCCGAGTGTGAGTTTCAACAGTCAATTGAATTTATGATGTGAGCAACATCAAAGTTACGGTACTTGAAGTATCCTAGCAATGTAAAAGAAGCATTCACAGAAAGTGACACTCTCTGATGTTTCAAGAAGTGTATTGTCAGCAGAAATTTTCAGGATAAACCTCAACCAAGTGACAAAGGTCGCCATTTAATTCTGCAGGTTCACTGAAGCTAGAAATACAACGTTGGCTGCTGCCAACAGCACGTAGTTCCCCAAATACGGACACTGAGCAAACCTCTACACCTCGAGCTTCCTAAGTACTACTGCCAGCAGAAAGTACTGCAGCCTAGCAAAGAAAAACTGTCTGTATGACGAGTTCAGTAGTTCGCTAATACTTGTTCGACTTGCCGTTGACACTAACTACAAATAAACAGGTTATACTTGTAGTTGAGTACAGACCCTAAACCATTAACTCACAAACGAAGGCAATAACTTAAACATTCGTTTTCCTCGCTTCAAACACTCAAATATTTGATCACCTGAGTGCAGATATAAACCAATAGATTCCCAAAAGGGCTTACTAGTTCTACTTCTAAAGACTTTATTTGTTGGTACATACGAACCAAATTACATCTTTTAAAAAAATTTACCAGGGAGAATCGCCCAGTAAGGGAACAAGTATGAATTTCCCCATTTCTCTCATACTGGGCCCTTCCCGAGAAAGCCCAAGTCCCATTAGGGTGGAGTTAAATGTGCTGGTGGGTTGTCATGTTGAAATATTTGTACATGCCTCCAGAATGCCTCTGCAGACCATGATGTTATCTGCTTAAAACCCTCGATTTTCCCTATTTAGGGTGGAAAGCGCAGTTTGCAACTGAGAGATGAGCTCTGACAACTCAGTCGAAGCTTGAGGGACTTCAGGAGCTTGCTGGAGCTCTGCAAGGCAAAAACATCAGTTTTTCATGTGAGATTCCATCGTGGAAATCGGTGTTCTTAATAACTACACTAGGCGAGAGACTTGGGAATCATTTCAAAACATTTCTCAGATTCCAAACAAGTAACTCTCGAGTTCAATATTATATCATGCAACAACATCGTTAGCAATAGGAGACCAACGAACATACGTAACGTGCAGAAAAGACTAGATCAGACAAGCATCATTCATTGAAACGAGGAACAAGAAGACCGGACATCCTAAAACCTCAACCTAAAAGACCTAAACTTGAAACTATACCATCATGACAGGTACCAGTTACGCCGCCAGTAGTACATGTACGGGCCTAATTATGCTAATAACTGCTGCTAACTAGTGGACACAGACCCAAAGTATAATTTTTCGTATACGGGCATGAACTTTCTAATTGTTGCAGTCAACTGAAGCTTCAATGGCAAGATCTGGCTCTAAAATAGAAACATTGGTACATGATGTGCATCTGTCTCACGTTCAAGCTACCAAGGAAGAGCAATCACACCGAAAAAAAACACTCTTCTGACTCTGAACAAGGAGCACTGTCTACAATATTACAATACGAATCTTATACATGTACACTGGTTTACCAAGAGCAAAGCACCTGACAAAATAGATAATCGTCTATCAAAAGCAGATCAACATCCACCTCTTTTCGGACAAGAGATTGAAATTCCAAACAAAGATTCCTGACGTCTCTTCTCTGGCCATCTGCTGAACATTTCCAAAATAAATTCATAACATATTTAATTCTCAGCCGAAACTCCAAATGGAATACATAAGGTGAGAAGAAGACTGACCTTCATGATCATCACTGCCCTCTTCCTCAGCTATAATAAAAAGGTGGTCGTTGTCTCGTATTGCGCGTATATCATCGACTTCAGCCCCGTATTCGGTAAGAATTCTCTTCGGCTGATGGTGAAACTGTGTGCCTAAGGAAAAGACACATTGAGAAGCTGGGTTAAGAGATTTTTATACAACTACATAGAGCGTTGTACGTTGTAACAATATCTGTCGATGTAATTCGTGATCGTTATATGAAGGTAAAAGATATGCGTAACAGGACACAATATGACACTTAGAACAAAATTGCTGTGCAGGACGTGCAGTTCACTTACTGGCAAGACGTAAAAGCTCATCGATTGAATCAGGCAGTAATACCAGCTTGCCTAATTGTGTCCTTGCTCTTCTGCTCTGAGGATGATACTGATAAATTGTGATCCTTTTTTTCCACGGAGCTTTTACTATTCCTGTCGTGGAGAGAAGTCCCTGCTGCTCTTTGGTAGGAGGGGGCTTTGAAATCAAGTGCAGAATAGAATTAAATCCGCTTACTCTATCTCTCGTCTGCACATTGTTCATATTTTTGTTCAATCCTGATTTGAACACACTTCTATCGGTTTCAAACTTTGACTTCCACTTCGACTTTTCTATAGTCGAGTTAGGTCTCCAACCGGCGTCCTTAACTTTGTTCTCACCCTCATTGACTGTGTCCGCGACAGCGGCTGCCTCAATAAGGTTCTCAATCTCAGTGAGCTGTTCTTGCTGTGCAAGAGCTAAGGGAGTGACACCCTGAGTATCAGGAATCTTCGGATCAGCTCCTTTTGACAGAAGGAATTCGACTGTTTGTCTTTGATTTTGACCCACAGCCAAATGCAGAGCAGTCAAACCCTCAGGGTTGAGAACGTTCACGTCGACGCCATAATCCAAGAATTCCTGCAAAACCGTCACGTTTCCCTCTGATGCAGCCGTACAGAAAAACTTCCCAGTATTGCTTTCGGGAGTTAACCGAGCTCCGTTTTCAAACAAAAGGGCAGCTGTAAACTCGTGACTACCGTTGATTGCCTCTGCCAAAGGAATGGTTCCCTCATTATCTGCACAAAAGAGATAAGAAATTAAGCCGAGTGACATGCCGCTCCATTCTGTAAAATACTTGCAAACTCTTTTATCCACTACTAGAAACTTGAGGTTGCCAGCATCGTTGCTGCGCTTTGGTGGATGTCGCCGGTAATACCCAAGTGTAAACAAACGAGTTAATGTGCATAAACACGAAGGTCTGAACAGGTGAAATACAGAAAATGGAGTAAAAAGACTCCAAAATTCTCTTAAACGGGAAATATTCTGAATTACATTCCACATTTAGAAAGATTTTTCACCTCGATAATTAGGTTCGGAACCATGCTCGAGAAGAAGACGTACGCACTCTTCAAAACCCTTCGCGGCTGCCTCATGCTGTTCAAACAATGGTGTGAACTGTCAACGCTTTGTACCAACTCCAGAATTTTGTTTTAATTGCAAGGAAGCGGGCACAAATATACGGACATCCGATATTAAGTTGTAATATGAAGAAACCAAGGGGTCACCTACCAGAGGGGTCCGACCCTTGTGATCCCTCTTATTTGGATCCTCTCCAAGACTCAGCTGATGTTCCAAAAGCTGCAAGTTACCCTGTCTCGCAATATAATGCAGACTCAATGCAATTTCCGCCCTCCCCTGTGCCAGCAACGCTTCTATCTCCTCCGCCATCCCTCCATAGCGCTTGTCTGAGGCATCTTTTAAGTGCTGCAATAATTATCAAATTTTTGAACTGTTCAGAGTCGAAGAGAACGTTCTACGTTTACTGAGGAATTCAATGCTTGTCATGTCAAATTTACACTGAACAACCTTTCACGATCACCTAATGCCAGTTGAGTGCAACGACGAACGGCACTTAGAACTTCAGCCAGTATTTAACAAATTCAAAGAGAGAATCAAACCTGGAGCATGTTGTCAATAACCTTCTGGCCATCTTCGATATTAGACTGAACGATGCTGATAAATTTCACTCGATCTAGACGCAGCAACTGTGTTAATTTCAAGGTCCGTACAGTGAACGGTTGCGGGATGTAACAGAGAACACCTATCTCACCCACAAGATCTCCATCTTCCAACTTGGCTAAAACCTGCACCAGTCCAATCCACTCGTGAGAAAAACATGAGTAAACCTATCTGAACAAACTACGATATATTGAAGATTTCTACACCATAAAATTCAAACAAAGACTATACATAGCCAACATATAACGTTAATATGTGATGTTCAAAATCAACTTTAACTTTCTTAACCATATCAAATCCCCGAGAACTTCAGACTTCCAACATTCAATCCTTCTTAGAAAATTTACGAACGCTGAGACTACTCAATTGTCCGACAATACCGTTAAGAAGCTTCAGACCGAAGTTCAAAGCGTGAAGCTTACGAACCGTACTCAAACGTCCTAAAAGATACAATATGTAGTGCTGGGCATCAATTCTTGAAAAATAGGTGTATGCCAGAACTAATTGCAAAAGATCATGTTGATTAACCATATTCAACGACGCAAACTAAAATGTTCTTTTCTTGACACTGCATGATTCCGAAATGCAGGCCTGGCTCAGCAGAGCAGATAAATTCGCTTAACCCAATCTTTGTATTCATTTCCTACAAAAAATTCTAGCCTTTGATTGCCAGTTGATTCTCAATTGCAGTAGTCAGAATTCAGTGAGTGCAGCATTGTTTAGAATACTTTACCTCCTGATTTCCATCTTTGACCATAAGAACTTCCTGAATACACAACAATAGGTCACATCAGACAATATCTAGGCGACAAAGAAACTCTTTGATATATAAGCAAAATACTCTGTGCGTAGTGCATATAAAGCCAAACAAAATCCTGGGGCCGGACGTAGAGAATGTAATAAAACATGACACATATTAGACTTTATTGACGGATAAATCTCTCCTTTTCCTCAAGTTAACAGTCATAGCAGTAATGGTACAACAGACGTCGGATTGTCTGCCAAAAACCCTAGCAGACGAACGATCACCCGTTCGCGATTGTGCATTAGAAGATCGCTTTTCAAATACTTTGATATGCAGGAGAGAAACAATTTGCTCCTAACAGAACTCATTCTAAAACTTTATATTGTAGGGAAATTGAATGTGTATCTTACCACACCTCCCGAAACGACGATGTAAAATTCCGAAGGAGACTCGTTGTGAATGATAATCTCTTCATTCGGTGGATAATACTCGGCCTTCATTTCTGTGACCTTCAACATAGAAATGGGCTCATAAGAATCATACGCAACAATTTTAACATCACACATAGTACTTAATAAACAGCTGTCACAAAAGGTAATTCAAAAGAAAACAGCGAAGAAAATGCATCTGAACTGGCCTCTTCCAACATTTATTGAATCAACCCATTCATTGTCTTCACACAAAGTCAATCTGATTTAAGACTACTGACCACTTGATGAAGGAAGTCTATTGAGGTTCCCTGAAAAAGATACACGTTTGCGACTGTGGGCAGAAACAAATACTGAGTGATGTTGGCACGAATGGACTTCGGCAAATTCGTCATGATCTGTTGCTGATGAAGATTCTCAGTCTTGAATTTGAGCCGCATATGTGCAAGCATTTGCTCTTGTAAAGCTGCTGGCAGCCTATTCCGGACAGAGAATTCTAAGATGGATTGAACAGCAACGCGCTGCAAACAAGCATTATTAACACAATCATGAGCCAAGCTTGTAGCATCGTCGTGAGACCAGCAAACACTGATGAAGTATTACCCAGTTGAATCGGTTGTTCATACAAGCTTACAAGCATGATTATGAAACAGGATTCCAGATCATGACAGATCTTTTTCATTCACGAAAACGTGTTCGTAACCGGTTTCACCGTGCTGTAGTTTTACGTCAGAAGACACAATCTAAGAAGAAACCACAAATGAGACCTCAGGCGTGCTCGCACTTACATAGTTTCTGGTTCGGCCTGTGACGTGAACGATGAGGTTGGTCATGTTGCCAATGATGTAGGAGGTCAACGCAAGATTGAACAACATGTAAAATATATCATACACCATTTCCCTGGTGTTGACTGGATGAAGATCACCATATCCTACAGTGGTAAGAGTTGTCATAGACCAATACATGGCAGCCACATATCGCTTTGTAACAGTCTCCTCCATAAAGTGAGGTAGCTGCGATCCAAACCAAGTGTTCTCCTGCTTTGATTTGGGATACCGAGCTGCGAGGAGATAATAAAAGCACCCAGCACAATGTACAGCGAGCAAAGTAACCTGTATACAGCATTCCAAAATTTAGTTTGGAATTGTAGGATCTAAGGATTGCAGCGACATTTTACCAAGCTTCATTCTTGAAGCACCAAAAAAATTCTTCTGACTCACTGAAACATAGACCTCTCCAGGCCCTTCAAGATTTTAGTGCCTGATGCTGTCATCGAACAACCTACAGAACCAATTAGGACGATCGCAACTTCCAAACCGGAATCACCCAAGATACATCGATGAGCTCATCGCAAACCTTCAGGTATAAAAGTGGTTCCTAGATGACAGATAAATTGATGGGTACTCACGCAAATGAATTTCACACAGCGCGTCCAGAAGTAGCTGAAGCGAACATCCTTCTCAATCCTGTCATAAAAGCAAGAGTTTACTGAGGGAATCAATAACTTGTGCGATGCTTCAGAGCGACAAGCTACAACCAAACCGCATCCCCGTAGATTCAGTGATCTGTGAAACACGTCAACAGAAACAAATTCCAAAATTTTCTTTGACTTTACGAAAGATAATGCCTCTTAGAACTTATACAAATAATTTTCGGAAAAGTTTATGACATCCCTTTTCCTACATCATTCGATAATGCCTCTTGGAACTTATACAAATAATTTTCGGAAAAGTTTATGACATCCCTTTTCCTACATCATTCGAATGTGACGAAGTAGCGTGAAGGCCGTTAAAACAATTTCATTCTCCTTGGTACTTTAAAAGTTCATTGCAAATCCTCTTCTAGATAGGCCTTGCATCATCATCTTCTACACTGAAGCACCTGCAGAGCTGAACCTAGCGTCCATAATGACCAATGTGCGCAACAAAAGCAGGCACTTTCTGAAATCCAACAGAGTTCAAGAGGGCCGACCTGGCGAAGAGGGAACCCACTCGCCGCAGTCGCCACAAGCGCAGCATATTCAATAAACTGTAGGTGAAACCTCGTCCAATTTTCCCAGTGAAGATGAAAGCAAGGAGAGTGAACGGTAGAGTGGACGCGACGTCGAGGGCGAGCCATGTCGACAAATATCTGCGAAATTCCAAACTAATCAATGGACGGAAGCATTTGGAAACTTCACGGGTATTGACAGCCTGAAGCTGAACAACTCGCTGGGAGGTGATACGGCAAAAACTGATGCGACAGTCAGCTATGTTCGTCTGCCTGATATCGTAGAAGGCCCGCATTTGCCTAAAAAAATCCTCTCGAAATCCGTAAGTTGCACCGCATGACAGTCAATAAAGTTTGTCCGGACGCCAGCACGTGCAGAAATTCTAAATCGTGTTCTTGCAAATACCTCGACTTTTGAGCTGGAATAACCACTCATAACGAGATGCATGCATCATTGCCTCCTGGATGCTGAATTTTTTTTCCTCTCATATTTGTTTTCCTATCCGTTTTGGGCTTGTAGGAAATCTGTTGCCGCTCCGCATCATAATTCTTTACAGATGATGAGATACAGAACAACGAGAAGAATTATCTAAGCTGACCGTAGGTTCCCACACCGCTTTCGAAAAAGTGTAGGAGTGAAGGTAAGGGTGTCTACCGTAGAGCAATTTTTTTGCGATCATCGACCAGAAGATAAGTTGTTCTGTCGAGGTACGCCACGAAGAAAGTGATAATAATATCGACTCCGAAGAAACAATCCACGGTGTAATCGATGACCAACAGAGGAGGTTGAGGGGCCTGGACAAAACCGAACTCGAAAGGCGATACCCAAGCGGAGTAAAAAACGAGGGGGACCAGTAAGTACTGCCATAACCTGCAATGAGTGAGAAGAAAAACATAATTCGTCAAGTAACATGTCGCATTTTACAATTAGCAGGAAAGCCATCTAGATTCAGCAGAGTTGCAAATGTGTACGAGCTAATTAGCCGCTAGTACTGGGACCACATTTGCTCATATAATATAATACTCGGAACATTCACAACAGAATTCCAATCCTCACCGATACTTCGAACTGTACGGAGAGATGATAAATCTAGCAAGCCGAGTTTGACGCTCTTTTTGGTTTGCTCCCAGTCCAGGCAGCAACCCACTGGACAAACTCCTCAAACTGGCAGGGGACGGGAGGCCCGAACGACGCTTCGGGCCAATTGGACCGCCCCACAACTTCTTGGCCATGATGAACGTCAGCTGATGCGCTTCAGAAAAGCACTAAAATTGCAGCGTCCGCGCACATCAAATCGAAAAAGCCATTCACGCATCACCTGACGCCGGCGGATAGATGAGAGCTAGACGGAAAACCCATAATTGCATCTCGAACAAAGCGGAACAAGTAGCACCCGCCTCAAAATCCCGGGTCTCTCGAAAGAACGAGTAAAGCTCCTGCATGTTCAGCTACCATCCGCACCAATTCACGGAATTCCAGGGCGTATATCGCCTTGTACAAGCGGAACGAACTAACCAGCTCGCGCTAGAAATAGGCAATGCGATCTCGCAACCGTGGTGACATTCCTCCGGCCTGCGTGCGTGCCTGCGGGAACAAGAAGGGGAAATGTATGGCAGAGTGCACCAGGCGCGCCTCGGTTCTTGAAAGCTCGTCCGAGCCTGGGCCAGGACCTGCAGCAGCAGCGATGGATGCTGCAGGTGACATTGACCCCGAGCTCCACCGAGCCCCGCCTCCCTCCCTCTCTCCCTCCGCCTTTGTGGCGCTGTAGCGCGCACCCGCACATCCGAACAAAGGCCGCGCGGAGCTAGAGCGACGACACTGTACCAGTCAGCCTCCCTGCACGCGCCCCCGCGCTCCCCGATACGGGTGGGCCCCACCACCGCCTCTGAGTCCCGGTGGCTACATCATCGAGATTCGAGTGCCCGTATTATCACTCTGCTGACTTGTCCACACCCACCGAACTCGCCCCTCGCGTCGTCGTCCTCGTCGTCCTCTCCGTCCAGGTCCGGCACCGCTGAGTCCTCCAGGACAACGCTGTCCTCATTTCATCGGGCAGTTCCGGCGGCACTCTTTGTTCACATATGTTGGGTACACTTTCCTCTGGCTACGGGGACAGTGAATTTTACCGTGACCAAATCCGAGCAGATATTTACAAAGTCGCGGTTCGCTTGCAAAAACTGGCAAAATCTGATCCAATTTCCTGTCGCTGGTCATGACCGACATTTTATCAGACGAGGGCACCCACGTGTGGTTCTGTGCTAAATATGCACAGCAGTCCTTCACCTTTTGAGTCTTCTTGACGGGGTCTTCCGATCTTTTCGCTACATTCTTCGCGCTTTATCAAGGACATGAAACTCACGTTAAAATCTTACAAACAAAACAAAACTTTCTCAGCAGATAACTCCTTTATGTATCTCAACTAAAATTTCTGGTCTCTAAACATTGCCAATTGCTACAGAACTGGAATATATGTTACTGAATCTCTGTCTCGTCCACCTCTCACAAATTTATAACATCACACTCGCGCGCGGTTTTCAGTCCGAGTTCTCTTCCTCTCTTTGTGTTTGTCTGTGTATATGTCTCCTGAAAGTGGTATAATTCTTCGGGAAGGGGTCGATGTCAAACAAGATGCGGACAGTGGGCCTTTTTAAGAGGGTGGCGATTGTCTCGTGAAATCAATGTCATAAGAGAAGAGAAAATCATGAACCATTCTAATGAATAGATAGTGAGGAATGGACCATGTCGTTAATTGTCGTGGACTGATAGGTGATTGTTAATCTATGTGGCATGTGGTTTAGGGGTTTAGGGCTTAAGAACGTAACACACCAACGTGGTTAGCGGTTTCGAACAATCTTGGTTATTTAAAGGCTACAGAAAGCAATTACTGTGAAGATACGTGTGTAGTTCGTTTATAGCACAGCCGTTTGTAAGCTAGTGACGAAACGCGACCACGAGAAATCTGGTTACGGCGTGACCTTCTTCTGCCCTTCGCTCCTCTTTTTCTGGACTTGCATTACAGAGGTCCTCGTCCAATCCTAACAATCCACGTGTGGTTGACGAAGTCTTCTCACTTTGCATTAACGCTACAGGAAAAAGGTACACTCGAAATTAGAAACCCGGTCAACCGTAACTGGATCAGTTTGCTTAAGCGCGGCTTCTATAAGTAGAAAGTACTATTTATATACGTACATCCGCGGTCAAACTGGAAATGCTCTGCACTGTTCTGACGAACATAGTAGCAGAAGCGCCACTGTCCTCGCGACCGCGACTACGTACTGAAGTAGCCGCAGTAGCCCGTGGCTGAGGCAAGTCCCAATAATGCCCGGCAAGGGCGAGGACAGAGCCCCGCCGGTTTGCAGTACCAGGATGCGGCCGCGTGCCACATGCCACGTGAAGAAAGGGGGTCCAAGTAAATAGGAAAAGGGAGGGAGGAGCTCATCGAGCCGTACGAGGATGAGAAGCCGTGAAATCCAGAGGACCCTGGGTCCCTTTCTCTCTCTCCACCTTTCCTCAATTCTGTGCTTGTTTGCTGACACGCTGTTCGCGCACCGCACGATGTACAGCACAGATCGCAGCACAAATCGCATCGATCTTGCACTCTCCTGTTCTGCGCTCGACATCGACCGCGCCTGATTTAACCGCCGTGAGAATATGGAGATTCAGAGGAGGAAGGGAATTCGGGAATGACGAACGACTGCTGCTGGGCCATCAGAGACTGCGGCGTCAGCTGCCTGCTTCTATTCCACCTCACACGGAGCTACAGTATGCAGTCATAGCCACGTTTCAAGTAACACCTGCCATCTAACCGCTCCCGTCTCCTGACCGGCGATCCCGCCCGGTCTATAAATTGCTATTGTTTTATCTAAACAATAGAATCTTCCTATTTGCAACGCCTCGCTAGGGAATAGCCCAGCTTCGATGCACTTGTGGAGTATTGCATTTTCTATAAAGTCTCAAAGTGCAATAGACTTGAAGCTTTATACTTTCGTAGTACATTCAGATGTTTGACCCAAGGGCTCAAAAGTCTGACTAACCAGGAAAAATTTCACTCACTAACCAGGAAAAAGATCATCTCCTATCAAGTGCCAAGAGCACTAGATAGATAAATCATGACGTTCTCTAATATAACAACAGGAATCATAAGGCACTTGAATTTATGAATATCCACATTGTGATGAAACAGTGCAATCGCAAGGACTGATGCAGCACCGGTTTCTATTTATGTTTGTAAAGCTTTTAATGTTGATAGTTCAGATGTTATGGTTACTAGACATCTATCTTGTCATATACTATCGGGCGTAGTCTCCCCGTTGATTTTGTTCCAAATTGCAGATTCTGATATTGGCTTGGTGGGGTCTTCCCATGGTATTTCATATCCATTTGGTCTCTATAGGTTTTCTGGATGAAGGGTAAGTTACACTATTCCAAAATCTGCAACATTCCAATTATCCTTTGTTTCTCGACCTGGAGTAACATCCAGGGCCTTCATTCTCGATGGTAATCAGGAGTTGCAGACTTTTTACCACAGAAGAGATTGAGGAAAGCCGAGAAAAGGGGACACCAGAGCAGGATTGAATACCACCTCCGCTGCACGTGACGAATACACGTCCCAAGCGTGGAGGTTTACAGAAACGTAGGCAGTGAGAGCGGACACGCATCGAGTGGGTTGGCCTTGTCATCTGCTTGACCATCAACCCAGCGAGAGAGGATGACTGCTTCATGTCTTCTGGGCTAGACGTGTGACCAAGATGGTGAGTGGAGTGTTGGTAGCGACTTCCTGTTGCGGCCTCCGAACAGGAAACGGAATCTAAAAAACCACAGCGCTAACCATCTTGCGGCTACTGTCAGGTGCACACTAGCACCGATTGGAAACAAAATACGAAGAATAGGCAGACATGCGTCCTGTAGGCACCAGATTTTGTCCACAAACCTCCTCTGGAATCTCGAGGCGCCTCCGGTGTCACCCCGCCTGAGACAACCACTCCCTCCACAGCGGTTTCAAATGTGTACTATACCAGAATTGGTGGACCCATCTTACTATCACCTGTATGCAGTAGACATGAACTAGGCTTGATGTCCCTTCGACATAGCTTCCTCACATTGAGGGTTGGGGACGGATAGGGGACAGTGGACAGTAGCTTAGGAATACCTTCATGGTTTTGAAGGCATTGTGAGGTTTGATGGCAGAAATATTAGAGGAATCTTAAATTGTCCGCATGGATTAATTTTGTTGCTTCAGTTCATTGATAACTAAATAAAATAATATGGGAAACTCTCTACAGAGATATTCGGTCAGATTTATATTTTTAGGCTTCTGAATATTATTTCTCAAATCGTTTCGGATTCTATTTTTTCAAAATAATATCCTGCTCGGCCTCGGTTGTATCTGAATCAATTTATAGATTAATAGAGATTGACAGGCATGAATTCATATTTTTATGGGATTTATTATATGGCGTAAGATATTATGTGTTGTAATTCTGCAGGCGTGACAAGATACAGGACGATGAAGTACCACCTCTCACTATAGTTATCTTTCTGTTAGATAAAGCTTAAAGTATAATAATAGGATCGAGTGGAGTAATATGTGATACATCATGTCCAATGTGTTTTTAATCTTAAACAGCGCAAAATATACAAACTCATATGAGAAAAACACCTATGGTTTATAAAGATTATAACTAGATCATCTGTGCGTGTAACTCCGGTTATTATAAGAAGGTACTAAGTACATCTTTGTTAATAGTGAACCAGTATAAACTGATTAATGAAAATGACATTACATTCATTTTGTATATGAAATACTAGTCTCAAAACTTTTGAATTTAGATGTTATGTCCACATTTATGTAATGGACTAGCTTGTGCCATGACAACATGCTTGGACAAGCTCATTGCATGTTACTAGATCATTTTGTGTGTAAATAGCATGATTCCTTTCCTCTCAAATTTCAATAATATTCATGTTATATTATGATTTGAATTGAAATCAAGGCCGGCACGGCGCGGTTATATCAAGTTAGGTTTGTGAGTTCAACCCAATGTCTCTGAGTCCACATAAATGGGGTTTAATTTGATTTTAATGAGATGGGTACCACGACTATAATATTCTTATATCGCCGGCGTTGGTTACTATTAGTTTCCAAAATTAAATTAAATTAAAGTTCAGAATTGTCTATGTGTCAATAAAATAAACCCATCAAATATCAGGTTTTATTGTATTAAATCATCAATCCGATTGATTTTGCAGAAATTTATTGGTTTTAGTCACCTCTGAATATTCTAAGCACATCTCACATTATATGTTATTTGTTCTATTTGAACTTAGAAGACATATACTTGACATATATGACATATACTCAAAATATCATGTTGCTACTAAGGATGTTGTGAGTATGTATATAACACATAATCAAATTGGAGAAGATTTATATTTAATGTAGTAAAGCTGGTTGTAGTCATGTTGCAAAAACTAATTTTTTTCAATTACTTAAATATGCAAATATATAAGTTATTTGAATTCTCTGATCTTTGGATCATATGGAGCTATGTACATCAACTTTCACACTAGATCATATTCTGCGTATCAAGTTTAATTTCTTTAAGTGTGTAATATGTTATTTATCAACATGGATACATTGTTTAAAAAATAACGTTGACTAAAAAAATTGTATAAAAATCACATTGTTGTAGCATGATATAATATTTATGAAAAGATGTGAATAGATGTTGTATACATATTATCTGCTCTAATGATAACATTTTAGG